GGAGCTGGTTGGTAGACCAAAAAGAGAAAGCCTGGTACATGAGACACTGGGAAAGGTCCTGAAGATACAGCATAAAAAGTAAAGGGCCTGTTAGACTATAGGCAAGAACTTGCAATGACTGAGCACATATTGCATACTATACTTGTGCACATTTATAAAATCTGCATAAGCCATCTAGACTTAATTTATACAATCATATTAAATATCATATAAACTAAGAGCTGACTCCAAAGGCAGTCTGTTTCTTAGTTCATCATAGGGACTTAGAACTGTGGAATTCTTTGTGGCAAAGTCTGAGGTGTAGTTCAGATAGTTCCAAAGAAACAGCTTCTACCTAGAATGTAAGAGAGTCATGAGGGCCTTACTATCCTGATGATCTAGGGTGAAGTTCCTGTGTGAGCTGGCCATGTCTTAAAATAAAGGAATGGAGAATATAAACTAGCAATTGAGTGCTTATCCACACCTGTCCTGTGCATGCTATTCTCAACAACTCTACAGTGTAAGCTCAGGACACTTCACAGAGGCCAGAATGTCTGCAGTTGGTTAGTGCCCCCAAAGTCATACTCATTTTATTCCAAAGCCTGAGTTTTCCTATCATCATATCTACATTCACACTGTATTTTAAATACAGTCTCACTTATCCCAAGTAGATAGTTTTGAACTCATTACACAGCAAAGGATAAACTTGATTTTCAAATCCTCTTGCTTTCACTTCATGAATACTGGGATTATACCCACACTCCATGATGCCTAGCTAATGTGGTTCCAGGGATTGTACCTACGGCTCCACACATTAGGCAAGCACTGAGCTATATCTCCAACCTTTCCCCCCCCCCCCCCCTTTGAGACAGGGTTTTTCTGTGTAGCTTTGGAGCCTGTCCTGGAACTCACTCTGTAGACCAGGTTGGCCTCAAACTCACAGAGATCCACCTGCCCCTGCCTCCTGAGTGCTGGGATTAAAGGCATCACTACCACCCGGCCTCCAAAACCTCTTTCAATGTCCATTTTATTCACGAAATCTACCATTGCCTCATCTGGGAACTCTTTGAAAATAGAATCACTATATTCATGATTGTTTCTTCCACAAAATCTGCAGAGTAGAGTACAACATAATCATGCTATGAAACATTTGAATACAATTTTGTCAAGAATCAGGAAAGATCTTGAATCTGATCCCACTTTTAAGTTACCATTAGCCTGTTCATGGGTGCCAATAAGACACTAAGAGAGAAGCAACAAAGAAGTCTGTGACAGCAGTAGTATTGATAGTCTTGGCAGTTCTCCTGATTGCTAGTGAGTCTAAGAGAGTGGGACGGTATCTGTACACTGTGTGGTTTCATTAAAGGATAGCAACTTTTGAGTTTAGGGAATAAATGAAATGGCTGACCATTGATCTAGACCGAGTACCTGTCTCCCTGGTTGCCTATCCTTGTAGAGACAGAACAAAGGCGGTGCAATGCGCAAGGTGCCAAAGTACAACTCTTCAAACAAGCATCCTAGATGCTGTGTGCTAATACCTGAAGTACTCTCATGTAAGTCTTTTGTGCTCAGTAGTTCATTTGGGTGCTACTTCCACCTCCAATTTTTTCAGAAAAACCTGACACAGAGAAAGATCCCTGATGTGTAGTGTGTAGGTTACTTTTTTTTTTCCTTTGATTTTTTGAGACAGGATTTGTGTAAGTCCTAGCTGTCCTGGAACTCGCTCTGTAGAGCAGGCTGGCCTCGAACTCAGAGATCAGCCTGCCTCTGCCTCTCAAGTGCTGGGATTAAAGGTGTGCAGCACCACCGCCTGGCAGTTACATGTTCTTAAGTGGTAGAGCTGGGATCTGAATATAGTTGTCCTGTGGTCCAGAGCTGCTTCATTATAACATTTGCATGCCAGCAACATGGCCCTCTTTTTATCTATAGTTCATTGGTACATTCTCAACGTTGCAAGTCTTGTTTCAATGGTGTCTAATTTAGACCTTATATTAGCTGATACTGATGTTGCTGCCCAAGATTGCTTGGGTACCACCATGGTCCTGCAGAATTTATCCATTTCCCCTACTAGAAGAGAAGCTCTATGAGGCCTGTGGCTGTTTTGTTCAGTATGGTTTCTATCATATATTTATTGAATCAAGAAAATGGACAAGCATATTCTTCCAGAGTCTGTTATCTGACCCAACTTTGCAATATCCTCTAGTGGCACCCTGGCAGCTAAGAGCCTTGGGTAGTTCTCCCACCCCCCGCCTCAAGGGTGGAGAGGTAAAGGGACTGGACAAAGATCTTGCAGGTGGCAGCTGGCAGACTGATTTTAACCGACCAAAAAAAAATTTACGAGGCTTCCAATTGCAAGAATAGTTGCAGCCACTTCTGGTAATGTATTAATTTCATAAAAATGCCTTCCAAGGTGCACAGACACATCTGAGGACTTTAAGCTGTCATTGGAAACAGAACTTTTTTTTTTTTTTATAAATGTGAACTTTAGATTTTCTTTTCCTGTTTTCTTTAGGAGCACGGCTGGCAAGGAAGCAAGTATCAAGTGAGGATTCCAATCGAATCTTTGTCAGGGATGGAGCCTTCCTTTGCTTTCTTTTCTTCTATTTGCAATCTAAGTGTTTTAGTGAGTGGAGCCAGTAATAGACTTCATATTTGCCCTACACAGTACACTTCTTTCCCTGTGGCTTTTGGCAGAATGTGCAAGTTTGGCTGGTATGTCTTTCTTTCCTATTCCAGTTTCTTCATGTAGGAAAGAGCCTGTCTTTGTTAGGATGCACTAGTCACCAGCTTGTGTATTCACATGTGTGCGCCTATGTGGAGGCCAGAAGACAACTCCTGGTGCTGTTCCTTGTGACACCTGCCTTTTATGTTTTGAGACAGGCCTGGAGTTTGCCAACTAAACTACTCTACCCCAAAGAGGGACCCTGACATTTACATTTTAACATGTGATTCTGTGACAGGTGGGTGCTGATAACCAAGTACATTATGAAGCAGGTTATTTGGGACACTGTTCTGAGAAGTCCAAGAGCATGACAGTGGTGTTTGCTCAGAATCTGGTGAGGGCCTCCCTACTACATCGCAGCGAGATACAGCATATTTGCTAGCTTGGTCTCTCTTCTTAAAAAGCCACTAATGAAACCGGACAGGCCCAACTCTCATATGCTTCTCCTCTAAATACCACAGTTAGGGATTAAGTTTCCAGTTTTTAGGGGGCACACAGAACACCATAATAGGGCACAGCCCAAAGGCCTGGCCTGGATTCTAATTCTGGCCCCTTCATGCTAGCTGTATTGTCTTAGAGCTTTACTTAATCCTCCTAGCACCCCAACTTCCTCATCTACAGAACAAATGTTTGCTTAGGATGGTGCAAGGGCTCTGTATGCAAAGAGTGAAGAGTTCCAGGTTGCTAATCTGCTGCTTCTACAATGTTTGTAGATTCTCTAAGCTAAAAAGACATGGCAATAAACTGTTTGATTTAGTGGGTCTACCTGGTTTGGGGTCAGAGTATGTGAGCACCATGCTAAATGCCAAGCAAAATCTAGAGGACTAAGGGGATTTGAGAATTAGTTTCATGTATTATGAGTTAGTCACACTTTAGTTTCAGACCCAGGAGGTTTCTATCTAGGCCAGTATATGTATTCCTCACTTAATCCTAGCCACTAGGTAGACTGGGCATTATCTAAACCCTTTTGATTTCAAGATCATCATTGCATGTTGCTTTGTCTAAATAGATCTCCTGTGGACAGATGCTGTCCCACTATCCACATCCAGGATGGCTTGTCCGGGTGCTTGCTGCACACATGAGCATTCTCCTCTTCAGGGTGGCTATCTTCAGTACACACCAGATAGCTACCTCAGGATGTCTACTCCTCAATGCTGTCCTGCTTGCCAAGTTCACCAGCCCCTATTCTAGAGATGTCCTTCACTGAGGAAGACCTCTAAACCAGAAGCTGCCTCTCCCAAGGCACTGACCATATGACTCCAGTGTGAAGTTACAAATGTAGGATTCATGTGGGGTTCTGCCTGTGGGCACTAGCATTGATCTGTTCAGCCACTTCAATCTTGTCAGCTCAGACTTTTCAAGTACATACCTGTCTGCATACATCATTTTCAGAAGAGACTTGTGGTACCACTTTGAGGAAACCCACCCAAGGCACCGTGCACTTCCACCCCAGCTTAAGGTTTCTTGTGACCATGACTACATGCCATCTGAATGCAAACAACAGCCACCTTTTCACTGTCCTCTTGCTGAACAGCTCAGCAGCATCTATTGATGGTATGCCACCTTTTGGAAACTTCACTGTGACCTGTCTTTTGCAGCAACCTTCTTTTCTGACGCCCACATCTCTGTAGCTGTCCCCTTGACATTTCTAGCGCACTCCATAGAACCTTGATGTAGCAAGTCTAAATTATGACTGACATTCCTTTGATATTACTTAGAACCAGAAGCGTGCCATCCTGCTACCTTCCTGCCACATATGAGGATGCCTAGAAAAACCCCATTCCAACCAGGTATGCATCCAAACAGCAGGGAGCTGGTTCAGGCCAACACTGCAGCTTCATGGCCTTGCTAACTCTCCTCTGTGCAAAGCCTCTTGTTGCTTCTCAAGTGTCTCTTGCTCCTGCCCGGGACGCTTCTTCAAATGTCTGCCTGGTACAGTCTCAACAGTCCTTCACAACTTGGCCCTCACACTGCCTCTGCCTCACTCACTGAGCATAGTGATGTCCCTTCAGCACTTGCTGTACTCCGCCACCACACTCTACATTGTTCCAAGTGGCTATTTTGACACAGTTTTGTCAACATGTCCAAGTGAAAATGACTCTATCAAACCATAAGGAGCAGTCTGTTTCACAGTATCAGCAAAGCTTACCCTCACCACAGCATGGTCATGTGAGATTAAGGTAATGCAGCAGATGGTTAGCTACCTAAAGTTATTTCCTCTCCTTCCTGCAAACAGCAGTCCGTATTTTCCAGCTCCCTTGCTATTAAGTGTGGTACAGTAATAAAGTCGTAGCCAGGATAGAGTGAGCAGGATTAGCCAGATTTATTTCCAAGCCAAGTCTGAACTTCTGGAAGATTAAAGAGATGACACTCAGGTTTCCTATGCAAAGGTGGAAAGTTGCTGGCAGACTGGATTTTCACGGATTGCATGGAGCGGAGGCTTCTGGTTGCAGCCTTTGTCCCTCAAGTGAATAAGAAACCAATTCCTACTGTGCCTGAGTTACTATATTTTGGATACACAAAATCATGACAATACCTAACATGGACAGGCACTAAGACAACCTTTCTAATGTAGGGAACATGCTGACACCATCGAGGAAAAACTCCCAGCTTAAAATGATGACAGAATGTACAAAGAAGTACATTCCTTCCTCAGTCACATACCACCAATGCTTAGAGCACAGGAAACTGAGAAAGCGAGGACACCAACACAGCTATTCTCCAGGAACACCAGAGAATCTATCAGTCATTAAGATGGACAACTACTACAGCCAGTTGCCCAGCTAGGGATGGGGATATGTGATAGATAACCAGACACTGCAATATGCAGGCCTGGGTTACTTAAGTTACCACATATGGATTATTTCTCTGTGTTCAGCAAAGCCGCCAAGTCACTAATAACTATGTAAATGCTAAGTTGTCTAAGAGTTAGTCTACAGTATTTTCTACTAGGTTGCATTTACTCATCTTTCCATGTTCAGAGCTAAAAGAGAGGAGGTGTTCAAGAAATGCTTGTCAGATATTACCAGGGTAGGAATTCAAAGGAACTCAAAGCTTCATTGTTTCACCACTCCCCATGACATTCATAATTACTTCTAGTATCATCCACCTCACAAATAAATAAAATTTTTTTTCTGGGCAGTCATAATTGTATGCTATCCGTCAAATAATAAAACCTCGAGAGCTGAGACATTTAGCCTGGAGATAAAGTGATATATTAACTTCTTGATCAAATGCCAGAGCTTACAGATGAAAATGAAACAGACATCAATAATTACAGCTTGTACTGCAGTTGGTTTCTAAAGCTCCAGGTTCAATGAACAAGTAATAACTGGACAAACACACCCTTCAGGAATGAGAGGTGGGAAAGGATTACCTCATTCCATACCTGGAACTGAGTAAGCCCCTCAAAGCAATTTAACAAAGAGGTGGCCCACAAACTCAGGAGGTGGCAGGCAGCAACTGCTCAGGTGGTACCAGACATGGGAGAAACCTTCCACAAGAGCATTTTGGAGTGGGTGGAGGCACTGCCCCTGACTTTACCTTTCATTCCTGAATATTATTCCTCCAAGAAGTCTCATCTGAATGTTAAAGACATGCACTAAACACCCAATGCTTGAAAATACCATCTCACTTGAAAAATTTATTACTTTTTCTTGAATTTAAAAAGGAATTACTAATATCAATAAAATGTAATTACGTCTCAGTTAATTCTTAATTTTATAGACAGATCTGAAAACATAAAGTACTGTGTGGCATTTCATAAACTGTCCCACCAGAGCCAGTAGCTGGATTCCAGAGATGAGATTTGCCAAAGCCAGCAGGCAAGAAGCTACTCAGGGCACTGTTGCGGTTGAAGACACCCTGGCAACAGTAACACTCACCTGCAGAACATTAACCAGTGAGCAGAAGGGAGAGATGGCAAAGAGGCAACATACTTCATTCCAACCCCAAGGAAAGAGCAGTGATGCCTACGTTTCTTTATGGCCATCACAACCTGCCACACTGTCTTGTTCTTCACTGAGGTCAAGGATCCCTTCCCCAGTCAGTCTGCTGATTACAGCCACAACACTAACATGCATGTAAGGAATTTTTTCTTTCAAGGTGGGCAGTATAGAGAAGAAATTAAAAATACAGACTAAAGAACGCAGCTCTGCATATTTATCAAAACCTATGGAGTACTCAATCTCCAAGGTGGCAAATGTTTACTTTAGTATCTTATAAGGTCAAGAACATATATGCTCAAGGCTCACTGAACATTATAGAAAAGGGAGGTGAAACAAAGAAAAAGCCAGGGGATGGAGAAGAGTGCTATAACATGCTATCTTCTAGACTTAAAGAACAGTGCACAAATGAACCCACGAGGCCTGCACAAGATCAAGAAAGTCCACATTCCAACATAGATGGGAAGGAATTCATGAGGCCCCACCCCTAGCTAAGAGCTATTGGCAGGTGACTGATGAGGACATTTCTTTGGGGTAGTGATCACTTGTAGGTTACCCATGCTCTGGTGGAAGGAATCACACCCATATGTATGTAGGCAGCACTAATTAGTAGGTTATCATCATCATCATCTTTAAGTACATGAAGGTGAGGAGAATGGGAGGGGAGAGTTAAGGTGGATATGATCAAGATATGCTGTATATACACATGAAACTGTCAAAGAACAAAAGTATTCAAACCACGAAAAAAGGTACACATACACATTAATAAAATGCCTCAACACGTCACTGAAACTTAGGAGCCACACTGAGCTTGCTAGCATAAAGTTAATTTATGTTTGAAAACTAAAAACGTGTTCTGATTAATCCATAATAAAATTATATCAAGTGACCTGAGGAGATGGCTCAGTGCTGCAAGTTAGAAGACTGGAGTTCGGATCCTGAGAATGTATGTAAAAGTTGGGCAGCCATGGTAGCCTTCTGTAATTCCAGCACTCAGGAAGTAGAGACAAGTTCTCAGTCAAGCTGACTAGCTGAACTGAATACACACACACACACACACACATACATGAGTCAGTGGGGAAAAGCACATAAAATGTGCTGCCCTGTGTTTATAAAGCCCCCAAGTTTACAGAGTACTTTCAGGTCTGTTACTAGGTTAGAAGGCACTGATGCCACAAACACCAATCTACATTTGCTTTTGGAAAAAGGTGTTCATGTGTACATTTTCTCTAAATATTACTATTTATTTTATCAAAGTCAGAGCTAAGACTCTAGTAGAGTATAAATTTTAAGCCAATGAATAAACAGTTGGCTTTAAAAAATATTAAGTTGACATGCAAAGTGTTTTTACCCCTGCCAGAGACTAAAAATAAAGGCAACTTCTGCCAACACACAAAAAAACTTGAATTGTATCAGTTGGTTCTGAATTTGATGACCACATTCCAAAATGGGACTGGACATAACATCAATTTATTTTCCTAAACCTTATTATTGCTTAAAAAAAAAAAGCACTTGCCATCTATTTGAAAAATCAGCCTTGTATAATATGTTTAGTTATTAAAACATATATTTCCAAATCCATAGCATTAATCTTTTAATCTTTTCCTAACAAAGTGAATGCAGACATTCTGAAAGTAATACATTCATATTTTAAGAATTTTAATTTCTCAGGCTGGGGAGATGACTCAGTGGGTAGCAGTACTTACACAGCAGGAGGACCCAAGCTTGGACCCCTATAACTCCTGTAAAAAGCAGGGCATGGCCTTGTGCAGGTCTATCACCCCAGTGCTGGGGTGCAGAGATAAGAACAAAGCTTGATAGGCTCCTCTCACTCTAGCTTCAATGAGGCCCCATCTTCAACGAGGTACAAAGTGCTAAAGAACACCCAGGTGTGCACCAGCACACACCACACACACACACAAACAAGGATTCAACTTTCTCACTGGTTGTTAATAATCTAGTTACTACAGAACTTCAAAGATAGTTTAGACAAAAGGTGTAAGCGGTATCAGATTTTAAGTATGGGGTTTACAGCTGTCACCAAAAGTTCCAATGACATTTTATTTCTGTTCGATGCCTGCCCCTCCTTTATCTGCCTGCCCCAAAACACAGTGCTTGAAATTTATGATCAGTTGCAAAAATCAGAGTTTAGCTGCTGATTTACAGTCTTGGCCGAGGTATTTAACTGTCATCAGAACTAATTATAGCAAGCTTGAGATTACATATTCAAACTCCCCTTTTGGTGAAAGAAATAGAATGTTCTGCTGAAATCAGAAACATCCTGAGGGCTCCTAAACAAGAATGCACTACCAACTTTACTTCTCAAAATCAGTGCAGTAAAAGCTCAAAATTACTGTTCTTCAGTAAGCTGTTCTGGCCTCAAGTACTTAGACAATAAATCATGTTACATTAATGCCATACCAATGGCCTAAAACATATTAATCTCACTCAACAGTAACTGACAATCACATTACTAATCTGATTCAAGCATTCTGGAGGTAGTAAATGAACAAGTTGAAGCTTCAGGAACCATAGTTATTACTGATCCACAAAGAACCCTTATTTCAATGTGGCCATGACTATACCCCTTGGGCAACACTGACACTCTAAGAATAATGTTACCATTTTACTGTTCTAATGAATAAAATATCTAAGTTAAATTAAAGCTCATCCCAAATAAAACTAATAACAAATAAGAGACCAGCAGATACAAGCAAAAGCACTGTGCCGCTTTCTCACCCAATCCTTCCTTCCTACTTTCTGGCCACAGAAATATATTTTAAAACTTCCTGCAATCCATGTCCACAAGAGGAGGGAGTAGGGAGATGTAACCTTTCTTGCCAACTGAGTCCTCTTCTCTGACCACCCTCCCTCCTGACTGTTCTCCACTCAGTTAAGCTCCACTGGTTAAGAGCACTGCTGCTCTTCCAGAGAATCCGGGCACCCACATGGTATCTCACAACTAACTATAACTCCAGTTCCAGGGGATATGACACCTCTTTTTTGGCCTCCATAGGTATCAGGCATGCACACAGTACAAGAGACATACATGCAGGCAAAACACCCATCATATAAAATGGAAATATTTCTTAAAAAACAAACACAAACCAGAATGGGCACCAAGAGGTAAACTGCCACACTGGTGTGGGTGAGGAGGGCTTTGCTGATTAGACTGAGCCAGAGGCTCCACAACCTGACCCTATATGCCAACAAAAGTTACGAGACCTAGGTGAATACAAGAAAACAGAAAAGTAGCGTGGAGGCCCAAGGAGAATGCATGTTCTGAGACCTTATATACGAAACTATCCATACTAAGAACTTTCTCAAAGATACTACATCTTATGTGTAGTGGGTGGAAAAAATATTCCTATACTGTTAAGCATACATTCACTCACTAAGAGTGTGAAGTAGGTTACTATAAGTAAACAGTACTCAGGAACATTTATAAATGGATACCTTTTAAAGGTATGAAGACAAGTGGGTTGGATATCCAATCTCCTAGATCTTGCTTTTTGTACACTGTTTTTTCTCAATTAAATGGAAATAAGATTTGACATTTAGACTTTTTTTTTTTAGACAGGGTTTCTTTGTGTAGCCTTGGCTGTCCTGGAATTCACTCTGTAGACCAGCCTGTCCTGATCTCACAGAGTTCCACCTGCCTCTGTGCACCATGACCACCCGGCGACATTTGGACTCTTAAAGAGCAACAAATTATTCACTTATTCTTTATATAAAGAAAATTTACGTATCACCATAAGTTAATGAAATTGTTACTGCTTTAAGTATAAAAATAATGTAATTATAATCTAATTTTTCGCAGTGTCCACACTTAGTCTTGCCAGTTATCAAATGCCTTTTCAAAGCCTCCTCCCATTAGGACTGTAAGGACAATGACTTCCCAGGTACTAGTTCTCTCTTTAGCCTCATTAATTCATTCCCTCTGTTAAGGAGCAGCGGGAGAAGAGGTAAAAACAAATGAGCTGTTGGACGATCCAAAGTTATGATATTCTGAGTTACAACTATTTGTCTAACACAATCAGACCATTTCCTTTTCAAAGAACAATCGTAATTTAAAGAATTACATGGTTGAGAGATATTTAGAAAGACATTTTCTAGGCAAAGCTGAATTTAAATCATTCTCCAGATACACTATGTCCACTTTTTACTATAATTATTTCCACTGACATTACACAAAAATTAATCAATTGCTTTTACTATGTGACTACAAAATATTAATTCTACTGCCACCAAAAAGAATCAATAATTATTCTTATAGCATTAAAGTAATTAAAGTCATTTGTAAAGTCAGTAACAATTGAGAATTTTTCTATTTATGACTAATCCACTATAAACAAAAGCCATTCTGAAAAACTCAATTCTAGAAACAGTTGCAGTCATGCTAACAACAGATAAGGAAGTACAAGGACCTCACAGGCTATACTAGACCAGACAGATGAAACACAAAATTGATTTTAAACTGTAGGCTTATACAAATAAATAAAACCTTATCCTTTTTTCTTGTATATATGCTTAAAATTTCTTACACAAATATAAAAATGTTCATTTCCTTCACAAACTTCTTAGAAAAAAGACCACAAAGAGTTTATAATCAGCTCCCAAGTTTTAGGCTTATCTTTTTCTACCCTTATCAATTTTCTGACATTTTTAACCTAAGCAGAAAAATCTTTTTGATAAATGAAGCATGCCAGCCTATCAACAAATGTCCTGAAGAACTCTGCAAGGCTACATATATCCCATGTTGCTTTTAGTTTCCCATCTCTTCTTTGCTTCAAACCTAAAATGAAGAACATAAAAATCTCAATTTATTTCTAAAATAAAATACTCTACTAAAATAACATGTGTAGTAAGTGACCAAAGTGTCTCAAATACCATAGGCTGAGGAAATGCTGCCAGATGTACAACCTCATAACTATTCCACTGAGACATAAAACATTAGATAAGTAGATTCGATGAATAAGCAGACTTCCTGAAATTCCTACCAAGTAAACAGAATCATGACTTTTTTTTTTTTTCAATTTTTAAACATTATTACTACTTTACATGCCTGAGTGTTTTGCCTGCATGTATGTCTGTTTACCATATGCATGCCTGGTCCCCATAGAAACCAGAAGAGGGCATTGAATCCCCTGGAACTACACAGTTGTGAGCCACCATGTGTGTCAGTCTTCCTGACAGCTAAGCTATCTCTTCCACCTCAGGACAGAAGTCTTAAATGAACTTACCCCCACGCCAGCTTCTTCTTCTTTCGAGCAGCCTGTGAGTTTTCAGCCTCCTTTTTGGCTTTAACAAACTTATGGCAGGCAATTGCTTTGGAAATTTTTACACCGAGCTAAGAATTATGAAAGAAAAAAGGAAACAAATGTTAAAAGAAATATTCTAGCTAATGTAAGAATCATAATAGTACAAAAAAAATTGGGAGCACATGGTTCAGGAGCTGTGTCTAAGAAATAAGAAATCCTATGCTCGGTCCCCTTGAACAAAGCATTACAAATACATAGATATTTCTCTCCACTACTCAAAGATCCTCTACCCCAGTTGCACCATCTCCTGGATGGAAATCCTTCCCAAACTCAGACCCTTTGAGGGTCCACAAAGGTAGTAATGAGGCCCTTCAAGCTATCTCAGCAATTCTGTAGGCTGAACAGGAATTTGCCCTGATAAGGCTGCAAACAGACTGACAGAGACATCAACTTTCTTTGCTCTGGGCTAGAATTACAGCAACTCAGTATGGTCACACCAGTTATCTCATGCTGATCAGAAGTTCTGATTGGCAGTCACAGATGGGATTAATGAAACATGGGGAAGCTAATTACTACTTCATAAATGCACTCTGCATGATGGGCAACAGCTCTGAGAGAGAAAAGAATATAAGGGGAGTCAGAAAGTAAAGAAGCTGGACTCCAGGACCTAGCTGTTCCCTAGGCAGCAGCCCTGTTCATGCTTCCCTGACTGCTAACTGCTGGCCCTCCAAGACTCATTTAGCATGAACCCCAATCCAGACGACTTCTTTAGCTCAGCCTGTAAGTTCTTGCTTCTGTATTTCTTTGCCAAGTTGCAAAGTATTTCCCAGGAAGCATCTCCAGAACAGCCATGCCAATACATAATAAGGAGGTTCTTATGTAAACTGTCCACCCATGTGTATGACTAAGATCCGTCAAGAACTGAGGTGAAGTCGGGTGGATGGGGGGACACACCTGGAATCCAGCAAAGAGAAGCTGCCCAGTGAAGTAAAGCTGGGCTGCAATAATGAACACCAGGCCATTCAGGGCCGCATAGCCAGACTCTGTCCCAAAAACAAAGAAAGCTTTAAATCATCAAAGGCTTTCAATCTTTCAGATGTTTCTGGGCATTTCTATTCCTTCATTCAACTAAACACATATTAGAAAACAGGCAGACTCGTGGACAGGAAACATAGGAAGCCATTCAAATTAGCCTATCAAAACCCGAGCTTCAGAGATTTGCTTGGCTGACAGCCTATGAAGGCATGGTTGGAAGTGAAGAGCTCATGTGCAAGATGAAGTCTGTAATGCTTGACACATCTCTCAGCTGATCTTGGGTGATACCTCCTCTAGAGCAAGTGGTAATCAAGATCTGTCTGGAATTTATAAATGTGAGAATAACAGACCTGGTTTTTCAGTTCAGGAAACAAACACTCTTGTCTTTTTCTCTCTCGATGGAAGAAAGGTAACAATCAAACCAAGGTGCTGATATGTTATCAGCAATAAGGCCACTGAAAGAACCGAGTAGGATCTGAAAATCCACTTGACAAAGCAGAGCAAACTCAGCATCTTCTCAAAATCCAAACCAATTCGAGTTGCACAACTGTGCAAGAACATTTACTGCATAACCTTCATGAAGGCACAGACGCTTGCTTCTGCCAGCCACTGGAGACACAGCACTAAGCCATACAGGACATCCTTTCACACAATGGATGAGAAAGAAATATGGCTGCCTCCATGCTGGCTTTGTTCTGTTAACTCTCTTCTTTTTCCAGCTCTTTATCACAGAAAAGTTCACCTAAGTTAACCTCCCCCTTCCCCGCAAAAAAAAAAAAAAAAAAAAAAAAAAAAAAGGCTAAGAACTAGGCAGGGAGATGGGTCCCTGGGTAAAATACTTGCCATACAAGTGTGAGGACATGAGCTCAAAATCTGGACCCCCCATAAATCCAGGCATGGCAGCAAATGCATCTGTAATTCTGTTCCTATGGGGAATATGGGAGGCAGAAGCAGGAGAATCCCCAGAAGCTTGTAGGGCACAGCAGGGAAGGTCAGGGAAGGGAAGGAAAAGGAAGGGCAAAGAGCCATGACACAAGACATCCTGTCTCAAAAAAGATGCAAAGTGAGGACCCGACTTCAAGATTGTTCTCTCTACACCTGAATCATACATAGTACATAGTTACGTATACACACACAGAGAGAGAGATTAAAAAGACTAATCAAGGGGCTGGGTAATACTACATCTCAGAACAGGAAACTCAAAGTGTTGTGGCATCATTTTTCATTAAGACGGAATTCCCATCCACTGAAAACCTATGTACTTGTCATACATGAAAACAAATTAAGTTAGAACCTGCTGCTCAGGTTAGTGCAATGGCCAGTGCAGTATCAAACAAATCCCTAAATATCAATGACTTTTATTTGTTTCAGTTTAACCCGAAGACAGCAGGGCCCTCATACATCTTGTAGTGCCAGTATCTCCTTATGTGGCAGAACTGGAGGGTTTCTTACTGGCTCATAAAGTAACACAGACATTGTTTCTGATCAGAGTTAATCATAGCTGCAGCTATGTGCAAGGGGACTGGGAAGTGTGGGGGTAAAACTGGACACATGGGGAGCACTAAGTTAACCTAAGAAGCTGTCTTCTGTCACAAAAAGCAGCTTGTGACCTAAGTTTGAGATGCACGACAAAATGCCAACATTCACTTGAATGACTTACTTAATCTCTTTCCTGCCTCATTCCCTCAATATCTGTATTTCTCTGTTAATTCCATTCCTACACATTACAAACCAAATAAAAGAATGATGTATGATACAGTTTACCAACTCCCCCAGGTCAAAGTCCTATTTACCTCTCAGCTACTTTTTATTATATTTAAATTCAGCCTCTACCATGGGTAAGAAACAATATAATGTGAACCATATCTGCTATATACCATTACCATGAGTGAAAGTTGTTTTCCCAAACTGTTGTAAAATCAAGCTATAGCTCTGTATTTTTTAACTTACTGAAGTTCCTAATCTGAGTTCCCCAGATATAAGACAGACAAGCCAAGGAGCACCTTGGTGTTCCAATGGACTACTCTCCATGCAACCACAGCCAAATAGAAATGCTTCCAGTGTTCCTACAAAGGTAAAAATAAAACCAAATCCAGAACCACCAGCATCATGACAAAGTTACAGAGACCACTATCAAGACATAGTACAGACTTTTAGAAATTGTTTACACTGCATGGTAGGCTCCATCACTTTGTGAACTATGTTAATAAACTACCAGGTTCATAGGTGCACTTTCAGACAATGCTCCTATAAGGGCGTACTATCTACCGACTTTAGACCAAGGGTCAGATTAAATGGAATGTTCTTCAACCAATAAGCATTAAAACAAGGTTGTTCCATGTACTGTGGTTTTTAAACAAACAAACAAACAAACAAAAAACCCGTATGATTTGTAATGATGAAAATCCATAGCAGTTTTTGACCTTTGAATGTTTAAATGAATGTGTTTCACTATTTCTGTGGAGAAATAAATGGAACAAAGATATCTGGAAATACAAAAGGATAATAAGGCCTTCAATGAAGAGGCAGTTGAGAAGAAATGTATTTCTTCAGTCAAGATGACAAACTTGAGTTTCAGAATATAAAAGAATATTGTGCTGTATTTCTCTATGACAAACAAATAAAACAGGCAGACAAGAATCATCCTTTTACTTCTATAAAAGAAAAATGCACCTTCCTGTCCAATGTAAACATCCCAAAAGCTTGGTCAATGGCTTTTATATTAAATAAATAAATAAAACAGTTTGGGGTCATCAGATAACTATAGTAACACAATGTGAGAAGACTTTTTTAATGAATAAAAATACATACAGAATTTCTTGTATGTGTAGCCAAAGTATCAGCATTTTCCATATAGAACATCCAATATTTTGCTGCATTTTAATTAAGGTGTCTAAACATTATCACAAAGAACTGCAAATTGGTCAGAGCATGCGGTAAGGAAAATTAAGCTCTAAAGGCTTTTTATCACCATATTTCAGGAACCAAGGGTGTAAAATGTTCTAATTTGGGATATATTAAAAGCCATAAAAGGTCTTTCAAAAAGATTAATGGTACTTTGCTTGGATTTAAGATAAGGGCTTTAGCTGGTTGGAAAAGCAGGGCCCTGGCTGGACCCTTGAGGCATTCATCTTTACAGCCACTTGGAAGATTTGTAAAAGCGCCTGCACAACCTCAAGCAAATGCACCGCGACATTTTTTTAATTCCTTTCAATTTTACAGGTTCAGTGTGTGTAAATCATATTGGGTCGTAAAACAGATACAATGGCACATCCTTATAAACACAGTGCAGATTTTAAAAAAAACCTTCAAAATCAAGTTAGCACCTCTTGCAAATGTCATAAAGTTTCCTGATAATCATTGGAAGCATCTGATTCCAATAGCTTAATCTAGCGCAGCTACAAACTACTTATCCATTTTATAAAATATTTTAGTTATCTCAAAATTACTAGCTTGTAACAGAGTTATGAAGTTTTCCTCTCTTTTGAACACTTTCAAGGCACTTATTTAAAAATACCAATTATCATACTTTAACTTTTTATACAATAATAGGTCTCTATGAAAAATATTTATGCCATTCTCTTTTGTTCTTTAATTAAATGAAAACAGATGTTTTCTGAAGTAAAGCGGAACCATTACTGGAGTACTTAAAGTGTTAAGGTCTTTAATTTTTATATCAGTTTGGTCGACAATTCCTGATTGTCTTTACTCAAGCTCAACATTAATGTCAAGCAAGTTACCTAGGAGACGAAAGAGATCAAAGAGACAAAAAACCCTCCAATGTCTGATTAATCAAGCCTGCAAACAGCTTATTTCTTTTAGCCTGCATGCAAGTATGAAAATGAGATTCTGGGAGCCGAACATTGTGCAGATTTGTTCATTCTTATCAGAACAAAGCCAGCGGCAGCTTATTTCATGGATCATTGGCACTGTCATCAGCGCTACACAGAACGGGTGACAGCTCCTCATTTTGAAGCTTGAACAAAATTAGCAAAAAGTCGGCACAAATTAGCCTCTCATCTTTTTAGTAATATGACATTATTCATTTACTTTT